CACTATCATGCTCAGCCTTCATTTGGGTTTCAGTAATTCCTCTCGGTTACATTGCCCTTGATAAAGCCCTACCAGGCCTCTTACACCCTCCTGGTCACTGATTTTGGATCACTTGTTGTTCCCTTGTCCCTGGGTTTGTTAAAGGTGTTAAATTTTAACCGAACTGCATCTTCAATAGTCCTCTTTCCAGTGCATTCTGCATGATAGCAAGGCCATTCGCATCTCTTGTCTGTGGTCAGACAGGATTCACCAGAGGTTCAAATCCACACGTATTTCCTCATCTTCTTTTTTAAAAAAACTGAAACAACTTTAAAATGGGTCAAAGGGGAGATCAAATGATAAGATATTACATTTTAACCTAACTACCTCTGCCGTCATAGATTTTAAAATGCTCTCTTGTGAGGGAAACCAGCCCCTAACACATCACCACAGGTCCAGTAGGTGCAATAGTACAGCAATAATAAGTAGAGATTATAGTAAAGTCATTGAGAGAATGAGAGATAGAACAGAGATTGAAACAATGGAGCCAGACACATTTCATGGTAGCATGCTCACCTCAGCCTCACTTGGTCGTCCATGTGGGGAGAGAGAGAGAGAGAGATTTATTGCTAACCAAGGCTTTTATATTCTCTGGGGACATGCAAGCCCCCTAATTACAGGTGAAGACATACGTCACAGGAAAGGGTTGTGCTATAGGTAATACAATAATGGGAGGGAGACAATCTAGGGGTATACACACAATAGGAAGAGGAGGGGTTGGGGGTACACATGTGACAAGATGGGTGGATTCTAGATTCAGGATGGCAGCCTAACTTTGGATGTCAATGAGCCGGTTTGACCTGTTCTCTGGCTCACTATAGAAACCATTATCACTAGGGTATAAACCCACCCTACAGGGACCAAACATGACCACAAGCCTTTAGGGAGAAGTAGCCCATTGTCCTTAACAGCAGGGAGTGGGCTCCACCTGGGGTGGGACCAGACAGTAGTCTGGCTACTGACTGCCTTCAGGGAGGTAACTTGACAATCATTTACGATTAGCTGCAAGCAATGTCATAAGTCTAACTTATATTGGGGGGGAGACGACTTGGGAGAAATCTTTCTGTTTCCCAAATGCTCTGTCTGATAATAAGGCTATCCACATCCCTTAACTATGGTCAAAGGGGGTTCACCATAGACAATCCATGTGTGGACTATGAAAATGGATTTTGGGCTTCCACTGTCATCCATAGCCTTCTGAAAACTGGGTGTTCACAATTTAAGCTCAGATACTATTCCCGCCTTGGATTTGGGTTTTATTATTTACAATCCTTGGATCACACAAGCTGGTGTGCTTCTTCCATGTGGACTTAGTTGACACCTCACTTAGATGGCTGTTAGTTTTAGACAAGCATTTAAGATCCCAGATGTTATTCCTTCTGATAGCTGGGCACCTTCAAGTTTCTTCACCACACTTTGCTACAGCACCCTACCTTTCTTGAGTGATCTCTTCACGAGGGTGAGCATCAAGGGCCATGTCATAAGAACTAATTGTTCTTAGATTGGGGCTAAAAGTAAGCACAAGCCCCAAATTCATTCATATATCTATGTCTTATATATGTTTCTGGTTCATTATAGAGACATCATTATCATTTTATTTTAGGGAATATTATGCATCATCATCCTAGGGCATGACTTCCAATGTTGACTCATAGCAGCCCTATCGCTATCTCTTTGTAATAAGAAAAGCCTGGACTTTAGAGTGACCAGGGAAACAGAAGTTACAAAAACAAAAAAAACAGCAGAAACCAAATAGTGATAGCATTTACATTTCAAAACAAAGTGATCAATGCCGGGAACATCCTGATATTTCACTCTCTCTTATGCCTGCATATTTTTAATGAATATCTTATGTTCTCCATTTTCAAGCAACCTTTTTTTTGGCAGAATTAGCATATAATAAGTGATACATATTTAAAGCATGTAGTTTAAAAACCTTTGACACAATCTCCAAAAAGCCTAGCTCCTCAATCCAGGTGACATATCCATCACCCTCCAAGGCTTCTATTTACCCCTGTCATTGCCTTACCTGTCATCACCAATCCCCAGGCTACACAGATCTGTCCCTAGAGATTAGTTTGCGTTTTCTAGATTTGTATGTAGGAGGAAACATAGGATCATTTACTTTGGGAGGCGGTGTCTGGCATCTTTCTCTCGGCATAATTATTTTTGAGACTCGCCCTCCCGGTTGCATGTATCAATAGTCCAGTCAGTTTATTACTGAGTAATATTCCATGGTTTACATCCATACCAGTTCGCAGAGGAGTGCTAGTAAGATAGCGGTCCCGTATTGTGCTACTAACTAACTGCAAGGTCAGCAGTTTGAAGCCACCAGCTGCTCCAAGGGAAAAAGAGCTTTCTACTCTAGTCCAGAGTTACTGTCTCATCGACTCATAGGGACAGTTCTACCCTGGCCTGAAGGGTCACTTTGAGTCAGCATCCACTGGATGGCAGTGAATTTGTTTTTCTTTTTAATATAATAACTTGTTTATCCATTAGCCAGCTAATGAACATAGGCATTTGTTATAAAAAGGAGTCCAAAAATGACTTCCACATATTGACCCTTTTAATTCTGTCTTCAGGGCAAGTTGAAGCCCCTTACCTACAAAAAGTCAGCATGACAAATTCAAATTGGCATGCATCCAGGTGTTTAAGAAAACCCCAAATAAATATTATTATGCATCGCTGAAAAGCACTGATGGTCACATGAAGCACATCGTTGCATGGGAAGAGTTGGAGGAG